GCTATGGTACGAAAGTGCAAAAACGCATAATCGCTCCGGCCCGCCTGGTGCGTTCCAGCCTGGGTTTTTATTTCATATCAAATTTCCACTTTTTATCTCTCAATACCTCAAACGTTTCCCCCATTCCATTCCCTACTCTTGCCTCGGCCGTTGCAAAATGAACAGCATGAAGTGTAAAATTTTTTGGTTCATGATTTGGACTGGTAGCAGTACCTGGTTGCAAGGCTGCAGTGAACTTCTCAAAGCAGACTTGAGCAAGATAAATGATAGGTAAACCATATTTTGTTCTATCCAGTCAATATTTTTTAAAACCTAATATGTTTGGCGGATGGATAGTGAAACAGTGCTGTAAAAACGACTGCAATGGGGAATTTTCGTTTCTTGAGTGACATCACATTCATGTCCCTTCCATCTGTACTCTTCAGAAAACTCAAAACAGCTTGAGTTTGCCGGAAAAGGTTGTGAAAACTGTTGATCAAATTCGATCGATTAACAATATTTTCGTCAAACTTTCGCCTTCCCGACCAGCAGAACATAAGCTGTCTGTTGCTACATAGTTCCACAAATGTTTCCACATGTTTGCAAATCAATGCCTTTGAGTCTTTCTACTTTTATGTGCAGATGGATTGCTTTTTTATTTCAGATGTGCTTTTTGTGGAAAAATGCGATATTTCTGTTGCTGCTGCTCATCTATTCTGTCAGTGGAGACGAAGAAAACGGAGGCAGGAGCGTGTAAGCCATCTCTCACATAAATATTAGCTGTGATAGTACTCATTATTCGGTTGGGCAGAAAACTGTTAAAAAAATTTGGAAACAGAAAATAAGGTTGCAATCACCCGATCAGAAAAGGATGAGATGCTTGTATGCAAATACATCAAGAATACCAAGACTGCTTCGGCTGTTAGTGTGGGAATCCCCCGTTAGTGATGGCACTAGGACGCTCCTACACGCCAAGCACAGCTTTGCCAGGTCCCTCGATCCAGGCGCTGTGTAAGATAAGTCGGTCAGGTGTGTAAATATTCCAATTCATTACTACGGAAAATATCGAGACTGCCTGAGCAGTCGGTCCTGTATTAATGATGTTACGGAGATGTTCCCACACAGTATCACCTCAGGCCTCCAAGTCATGAGTTGCACAACTCCATTTAGTATCCAGCATCTGTTCGATTTATGCGCGCCACCTCTTGTGCGTTCAAGTGGTCGTTTACTTTCACATGTGTGCCGCTCAGTGGAGCGAGCAATGTGTCCCACACATCAGATTTACTTCCTCACGTGGTCACAGTCACATCCTGCGTGCCACATAAGAGTAGTCGCGAAAAGACACGCCAAACAACCTTCGCCTCGTCGCTCTTTCGTAGACAGCGCTTGCTCTTCACCTTTTATCAGCTACCATGTTTCGCAGCGACCATTATTGTTGAAAATTTTCCCAATTAACAAGTTTTTTCCCTTCAACTAGAAATTATAAGTAATAATCTTGCACTGACACAAATTTTCTGCTCATTCCACGGAAAAAAGCCTGTATTTGCTATTGGCATGCTTCTAAGCAGTTCTTCAGCAGCGGTGCCGTCAGCCACTTTGCCAGTGGTTAGTTGCTGTTTTTATTTGTGTTACCCTTTGAATACTTCTGACTGCTTCCGCATCACACAGAGGACGATTACAAAGGAGGTTCTGAACTTGAGGGAATCTGCCCGGGAAGAAGTTTTTGACGAATAAAAATTTTAGTTCTAATAAACGTTTAATAATATTGAGAACTGAATTAAGCATTTTCAGGATTAGAAAGAAGCGGCAATTCTTCGGTGGCGGCAGCTTTGGTGCATTATCAGTGGGACCATTCTTCAATATTGGCTGGGGTCGTTTTGGTGGTGGTGGTTTGGGATGGGGAGGTCCTTGGGGGTACGGTGGATGGGGCGGACCTTGGGGAGGATTTTGGGGTTGATTTAAAAACAGTCGCGATGTGTTCATCGTTTATTACATGCTCAAAAAAGACACCTCAGGTGGTTTTTCTCATGTTGCGTTGCGTCGCTTGATGATGCGCCTGTGATGCATATTTCTGTATTTCTGAATGTAAATTACTGAAACATTGGTCAGCTACTGCTTTTATCTGACACAGCTGGCAACCTTTCCTCTTATTTTGTAGCCAATAACGTCTCGTCTGTTGGTCAACATGCAAGTAATTTTGCCGTCCACTTTCTGTTCTGATTGTGCTGATCATGCCTGATCCTCAATAAAACATCGGCGTAACTCCATTGTATCAGACATCAACACCAGCATCATTGAACTGCTGCTGTTAATCATCACCACTGTCACTATGCTAACGCAGTCCAGTCGTGTTGCTGAACAGGAATGTATACGACAAAATTCTCCTCGTTTGGTTATTTAATATTTTTTTTTTTATATTTTACATACCTCATCATTAACAACTTCGTAACAAAAACGAATTTTTCAACTTCAGGTACTACTACAGTTAATCGGAGGCTCTAAAAGTGAGTATGCAACGATAGTCGATTAAAAGTCTGCATCTTGCTTGTGTGATAATCAAAGAATACCCCAGCACCTTAATTAGCTATAAAGGCATTTGAAATATTCACATTACGTGGACTCATTTGCGCAAAAACTTTTTACTTAAGTGCTACAAACTCAAATTTTTCTCACTTTATCCCGCAAAATATTTCCATAGCTTAGCAACAGCGAATCATGTCTAAACTATTTCGGGACTGACAGATCAAGAAGCTACACTCTTTTAAATATAAACTCTATGCGAGGTTTCTGGTTGGCTATTGTGTTTACAAAATTTAGTACATGCAGTGATCGGTGTGCTTTGATTATGCGAACGAGTTCCCGGAAGCACTCTTGTTTTCACAACGTCTTATTCGCCAAACAGCTTAACAACCAGCAAATAATTAAAACGAAATTTCTGAATTGCAGTTATGACAGTATTGTTGTTTACAGAGGAGCAGAAACTGACAATTCGGCCCTTTTCGAATTTTTATGATTTTATCGTCTTCTTTCCTCCTCTTCTCCTTTCCACTACTTCCCTCTTTACCTTGTCTTATACAAGCAGTTTTCTCACCAATGCCAGCAAATAGTAACCAGAAAAGTAGATTTGCTCAAATTGATAGAGCACAACTTAATTGTTTCGTTTGCGTGCATGTAAATACGCCTGAACGTTAACGCATCAAAAACGAAGATCGTGCAAAATGCCGTCATGTTCGCTACCCGTTTTTGTCAAATTAGCAGTGCTAACTTACAAGAACCTGGCTGTTACGTCTGTTTCAACACGAAATAAATAAGTGCCACAATTTCCAGTTGAATACTGCACGCAGATGAACATCCGATAACTCAAATTTCACAGCATTGCCATCGTTCCCGGTCAAAATGACTGTCACCACTGTGCCAAAAACAATGACGTATGGATGCGAAGCATGCTTACTGATGAAAATAGATAAGCTAACACTGACGGCAATATCTCAGACGAGCAACGGAAAAAAGAACACATCACTTATTTTTGCAACCACATAGGAAATCATACCCTCCTTTAGATGGGTAGGGTACACGATGTGTGAAAGAGAATAAAACCCGTTGGGTATTTGCCTACTTTTTGACAGCCAGCCGTGTGTTAATCCGTGGCACCTGCGAAAAATCAAACGACTCGAAGAACCGATGCGTATACTTCGAACATGTAGCGAATACTAACTACAGTGTATGTAACTCAATATCAGAAGGCTTGGCTCAGTGTATACGGGAATTCCACGTCTATCGCTAAAATGTGG